TTAATTTCCTGTCCAATAGTTTAACAATTCCTAGGTCTTAGGATAGTTATTCTGATTATTGGAAAATTTGTAATGTTTAATCTGATTATATTTGGAGATTATTGTGACTAGATTACTGTTTAGCATTTAACATTAGGCTATTTATAACTTTAATTTCAATTATAATATTGTGGTTATGACATTTGTATTGACTTTGGAGCTAATATATTGTAATTGTCTAAGGTGGCTTGGAATCTTGAATCATATTGTCTCTTACTAGCTTTAATTCTATTGTTTTGGATTTAAGAGTTCTAATTAAGTATTGATTTTTAATATCACTAATCTCATTTTACTATTCTAGTTGTAGTTAGTAAGTTGGGATTTTAGAAAAATATTTTGTGGCAATTCGAGGTGGCTCGGTTGTTGGATTAAAAGCTTAATTATAATTCTTAATTTATTGTTTTAACTTCTGTATCTTTTGGAGTGAGGATTGCCTGCGTTGTTGAATTAGAGGATTGATTATTATCATTGTTATTCATGTGTTTCATTTTCATTTCTTTCATCTTCATTCGTTTTAATCACTTTTATATAAAAATATAACAAAGGTATTTTAATTTCAATTTATTTCATGGTGTTTAATTAGCAATTATCAAATAAAAAATTCTTTTTATAATTTAGGTTACTGCATTTAGTTACTAGGATTTAATTTTATTTTCGGTTCCTCAAAATGAATAGGACCTAGATTGTACACTAAATTAATTTAATTTGGTTAATTTTTGGAGTTAGGAGTAACTCCAAAGCGACAAATTAAGGGCATTATTTCAGATAGTTCCACAACCCTTGTGTCCTGGTATTAAATCATACGGGAAGATTGTGTGGGTAGGAGTACATGCAAAGCCTCCACAAAACCATTAGATGCATTTGAAAGAAGATATGTAGGAAGACAGCTGACAAGTTCGATTACATAATTGAATAAGTGTGGTTAACGAAAGGACTGCTTTTTTCAGCGAGAGGACAGAGGACAACAACTGTCCTTATGCTCTTCTTCAATGACAATTCTTCCACTCCCTTCCCTTGGCTGCGATCTTACATGGAATCATTTATCAAAGTGGAAGAAGATGGAGAAGATTGTGAGGAAGAAGAAGAAATCAATGAAGGAGAGGGTACATGGGAGGAAGAAATTGATGAAGAGATAAAGAGAGGCTATTTGAATTTTGAAGCCTAGGCTGAGAGGTGAGAGGTTAGGTTAGGGATTCTAAATGCAAAATATTATGTATCTCAATGTGACTTATCGAAAGTGAGATAGGAAGCATTGAAATAGGTGGAAAATAGATGCCCACTTGAATAGGATTTGAATTTTAAACTCTGATGAACTAACATAATAGTTGCATTACCAAGCCAGATACATTAAACAAGAAGCCGACTTAAACGCAGCTCGACATCATAATCAAGCAGCTCATGAACAGTGTTTTGTGAGGAGAGCCATCAATAAGCCACATAAGGAAATCGGCTTGGTGGAAGATTATGTTTAGATATATTGATATTGAGGCTTAGCATCATGCATATTGTGACAAGAACAGAAGATTAATCAGAATTTATGAAGATTAAATATATAGTAATCTTAAAAGATAATTAATATGAAAATCCTTATAATTTAAACCATTGTTTAATTAAGTCTTTATAATTTTTTTCCATTTCTATCAGGTCTTTATACGTTCACCCATTTTAAGTAGTTTTTTTTTTTCTTTTCACCAAGTCATGTAGTTTCACATTATGTTTAATCAGGTCCTGACTTTTTTTTTATCCTATAAATTCTAATAATATTCTGCCATAAATATAAAATACAATATTATTAAGTATGATATTATTTAATATTATTATTAAATAAAAATAAAAATATTCTATAAATAATAATAATTATAACAATTTTAGTTAAATATTCTTTAAATTTTTTTGAATCAAACACATATTTATATTATTTGTTTTATGATCACAATTCTATTTATTTTTATGATTGAAAAATTAGAATGATAATAATAAAATTTTTAAAATACAAAATATTTGTAATTAGTTGAATATCAATTACTAAAATTAATCATTAATTATTATTTAATTATATAATTTTTAAAATCATCCTGGCATTAATTTGATTTATTATTAATATTTTTCATTTCAGCGAATTTATTTAATTAATTCAAAATTAAACTAAATAGAATTGAAAAAACAATAACATGATTAAAAATTAGGTGAAATTATAAGGATGCATTAGAAAGGAATAAAAAATGCTAGAGGAAACTAATTAAAAGTAGATAAAAGTAAAAGGATCTCATGGAAAATTAAAAAAAAAGACTATATAGATGTAATTAGAACTATAAGAAGTTGTAAATTAATTATTCCTAATTTTAAATATACAAATCAAATATCAGAATTATGAAATGGCAAAAAAAAAAAAACAGAATTTTGCATACCAATTACTTCAATCCTCCACGTCTATCGAGCTGCGCAACCTGCCAACCTTAGAATTCAGCCTCCAAAAGATTTTCTGAAGGCTAAAGGCAAAGCTTTTTGGTTGGTTATTTAAATATAAGATTTCAATCTATTTTATCTATTAAATTTATAGTTTTTTGTTAAAATGTCCTGAATATAAGAGTCAAACTTGGGGAAGGCTTTAACTTTAAATGTTCTCGGTCTGATAAGGATTAGTCTCAAGTCCAATTAACTTGTGGCACCCTGAATCTCAAAAAACATGAAAGAAAAAAGAACAAATGGCTCAAATATTAGGCAAAAATGACTAGACCCAGAATCTGCGATTTTTTCCCCACAATCTGCATTTTTTTCCCCCATGATTCTGCAACTTCTCTTCTTAATGTTGCAAATTATGTCATATTTCCCAAATATTTGAATCATTTGGTCCTTTTGAACAATTTTTTCTTATTACTTTTGACCATTGAGAATTTGATATTAGAGTTTATTATTTTTGTTAGAATTAATCATACAAAATTGACTCCATTTAGAATTGAGATTAGTAATTGATTTATGTTGGAAAGATATTACTTTAAAAAGTGATATCGATAATGTGAAATATTTTGGAATATTGTCGTAAAATATTGAAATGAACATATGTCTATGATATAATATTATATTACTTGAATTTGCAAAATTCTAAATCAATGTCAATGACTTTACAATGTCCCCTTTTGGCAAGAAAAAAACTTTAAGTCACCCTCACTCAATTTCATGTTGACCAACAGCCTGCTTGGTGTAGCGTTTTGGGAGGCAAAAAGTAACTTATAAGTATGATAAATTAGTTTGCAAATTTGGAAGCCATTTGTCACAGTTTTTAAATTATTTGACTTATGAGTCAAAAGCTGCTTTTTTAAACATAATTGTAAAAGTATCTAAAACTTATATATAACTTATGTAAAAGTAGCTTTTTGAAATTAAAAGATATTTTTGCCCTCATGTCTATATTGTTCTTATACTTTTCTCTAAATATTTCTTGTACTTCTGAATCAGTTTTTAGTTATTTATTTTTAATATTCTCTTGAGTGAAAATAATTTTTAACAGCTTTTATCATATTTTTAATTTTTAATATTATTTTTTTATATTCACATAAATTATGCAGAGTATATCATCCAATTAATTATTTAATATTATTTGGTTTAAAAATGTTCAATTAACATGATTTCTAATTTAAATATATTTTATTCGTTAAATATAAATTTTTCCTATTATAATAATATAAAATCATTATATTTTGTAAATTCATATTTTTAATTATTTTTCATTTAATAAAACTCATACTCGTTTTGGTAATCATACAAACTAACTTTTATTCAATTATAATCTAAATAACTTTTTATCTAATCCAATTTTTACAAAATAACTTTTATAAAATACAATCCAAACACAATTCATATTACTCAATTTAACTTTTATCCAATCCACAATTCATATTACTCAATTTAACTTTTACCTCATCTAACCTTTTTTAAAGTCAAATTGATAATAATCTGTTTTTTTAATTGCTAATTCAAACGGATCCCAGATCAAATACAAAAATGCAGTTACTGAAATAGTTTGTTGCACAGAACGTTGACAAAGGATGAAGATATTTGAACACGGATTACCTGTTTGCGCGCGTGAAGCAGCGCCGAGGGCCCATATACGACTCGGGGTTCAAATATTTTGGAATATTGTCATAAAAAACACGTTTAGATATGTAATTATTGAAATGAACATATGTCCATAATACTACCTTCTATTCTTAATATAAGATCTTATTTTGGTTCTAAATATAAAACTCCAATCCACTTTGTCTCTCATATTTATACTTTTTTTTTTCTAAAGTAGTCATTCTAATAATAGTAGTTTTAACTAATACACTTGATTATTAAGGATGTTTTAAAAAAGACAATACATATTTATTATAAATAACTAACTTAAAATTTTTTTAATCTACTCAAGTTAGTCAATTAACTCTTATATTTAGAACTAGAGGTAGTATAATATTATATTATTTGAATTTGCAAAATTCTAAGTCAATCAAACTAAATTATAATTTTTAAATGTCGATGAGATTACAATGTTGCCTTTTGGGCCAAAAAAAAACTTAAAGTCACCCTCCCCCAATTTCATGTTAGCCAAATCAAATAAAAAATGCGGTTACTGAAATAGTCAGTTGCACAGAACGTTGACAAAGGATGAAGATGCTTGAAAACGTATTATCTGTTAGCGTGGAGCGGAGCTGCGGGGCCCAGATAATACTCGGGGTTCCACCAGTGGCCAGGGCAGGATGTGCTATACAGCACGCACACAATATGCACTCGTACATCCCGTCAAGCTTATCCCTATCCTTCTTGCTCTGAGGTACCTGCTTAGCAGGAACCGGGGGTGGGTTCTTCCTCTTCAACCAGGGTTCAATACTCTTGTACTGATTGTAGAAATTGGTCATATCCACGACCAGATCCTTGATGACTAACATACGAGGCAAGGGAGTATTTTGGGCAATGGGAGGGGGGATCGCTCTCAGCAACTTGGACGCCGGCGACGATGAAACCCTAGACAGTACTGACCTTCTGAACAAAATCGTCGCCATTGTTGTGTGCAAGAGAGAATATGAAAAGAAGGGACGCTGCTAGTGGGTGACACGGGAGGTGATCAAAATCAGAATGGCTAAGAATGAAGAGGAACGATCTACGATAAGAATTAAGGAAATAAAGAGGAGTATTTTGGGCAATGAGAGACCAAATTAGAGGCTCTTTGTTATTTTAAGTGGGAAAACGCTTGAACGCCCAATGGCCAGCGCGCTCCCATCTTGCCCGCTGCGTTCCTCAATTCATTTAATTTAAGTGCACGCGAAGACGATTTTGAGTTTTTTTCAGAATAAAGTGCAACATTATAAATTTACCAACATTTTAAAATTTCAATCTATTCATATTAACTTATTTGAAATTTTGCAAATTCAGGTAATTTCTGGGTTTTGAAAATATATTTATCATTTTTAGAATTTTTCCAAATAAAAATACATATATATAAAGTTCAACATATAAGTTTATATATGAATGATTTCTTTATTTATGAATTAGTATCCTTTTATTGTAATATTATTTTAATTATAACCAATGTAACCCCGAATTGATTCCGATTAAAATTATTAATTCTCAAACTATTATCTTCCCCGGTTGATTCACCCATTCTCGATGTCTTGTTTTTTCAGTAAGAAAGCGGGATATATAGATGCTTCCTCGTATCGTGCTGAAAATTCCCGGCGGGGGCTGAGCTGAGACATGGGGATGGGGACCAAGTCAAAGTCAAAGTCCAAACCCCTAGCAAGTGCCACGTGGGCAGAGAATTAAGGAAGGAAGAAAAAATGAAAAATCCATCTGATCTGGGAGGCCTAGAGGGCCCACTTGAGGAGACCACTCAGACCAGAAAAGACAGAGTCCATCAGGACCTGCCAAACAATGGCAAACCCAAAGAATCTATGATTATACGAGACGTCACCAATGGAAATCCGAGATTCAGCCAGATCCAATGGATCCATCACACGCAAGAAACACGCTAATGGGTTATGGCTCACTATGATTCCAATTCCATAATGTTTCGAGGATCAAATTAAACCGAGCCTGTTCTTAGATATTTTACATTAATCAGATTCCATGGAATTATACTCTTCTCTCCATGCACAAATTGAAATTGTTGCTGATGACTTGGCTCTGCTCATTGTTCCACAATTGTGGATTTAACGGTTTCTACAAAAGAAACTATAAAAATTATTGATTATGGTTTCCTTGAGTTAACCCAAGAGATTGTAGGATAACGTGGGGCAAAATGATAATTAGCTTCAATACAGTATGTCTTACTGGATATCTCTTTACTTACAGCTAATTACATACTATAAGTATCTCTTGTACTTAATTAATATTACCTCTAATTTTTAATATAAGAACTAATTTGGCTTTTAATTTGGTTCTTAATATATAATTTCAATCCATTTTATCTATCATATATATTCATTTTTTTCTTAAGATAGTCCTTATAACAATAGTAATTCTAACTAATACATTTAATTAACAAAAACATTTTAGGAAAGACAATACTTATTTATTACAAATAATTAATTTAATTAATTTTTTTATTTACTCAAATTAGTCAACTAGCTCTTATATTATTAAGTATTAGAAGTAGTATAAGATATAGCTTCAATTTTCTGTACAAACTAAGGATGGGAGATAGTACTATGACGGTTTCTACAAATGTCATAAACAAAGCAATTAAAACAACATGCATATCATCACACTGTATTCCAACCTCTCCTTATTTTACAAATTAATACTTGAAATCTAAACTGGTGGCTGGGTGATTGCTGGGACATTGCCACTTTCAGTTCTGTCCACTGATCATACAAATTCGAAGCTCTGGTTCTAGTTCTGGTCCACAGGTCATACAAATACGAAACCATACTTTCACCTATTTCTGCTATTTTATTGCGGTTAAAGTATATGAATAGCAGCATTAACCAGACAATGAAGACAAATGGTTGGAGATAGCGAGGAACCAACACTGATATTTGAGCGGTATAAGCCAGACTTCCAAAGATGAAAGCTATCTTAACGGAGCGAGTTAAAATAATAGCATCAGGCGGTGGAGTGTAAATCTGGCATTTGAGATGATATCCACATGCAAAGCAATAGAAAAGTAAGCAAATCATGAAAATCCAAATGCTTACAGGATGCTCATTTAGAGGAGATGAATTGCCAAAGTGCATTTGAACAATCTCCCTTGTCTCTGGAATTAAAAAGGCAAACACAGCATGCCAAGGCATTAGAGGGCTGCAAAACCATCAAACTAATTAGAAGTGGTCATAGCGCAATTACCAAGTAATTAAAATATTATTCTGATGGTGAGTATTTGAGTACAAATATATATAGAGACACAAAGAAATAATACAGACATGATAAAATTAAACATTAGTTTGTAAACCATGTCAGAGTGACCGCAGTGAAACTGGAGAGACGCGCTAGTTCCACCACGATGAGCTCATCGGGGCCACGGGGTTCCACCGCGCAAGCTCATCAGGGTCACCGGGGTAAAACTGGAGACTCACTAGTTCCGTCGCGACGAGCTCGTCGGAGTCACCTCCCTGGATAATATGTATGAAAAGTTAAAAGAAACTACTTGGGATACTTACGTGGGTGAAGTAGGCATGACTTGAGTTGAGTTTGCTAGAATTTGACGGCGAGGGCCGGAATGGTTGTACCTCCAGGTACAGAGCGTAGAGAGAGGGACGAGGAAGCTTCGGCCGTTCAGCTTCGATATATATCAAACGTGAAGCATTTTCATGCAGCAAACGGGTGAACCAAAAAAGCCCAGAAAAAGCAACGGTTCATCAAGGATGAGCCCCGAGGCCTGCACCCAAAGCGGCCCGTCAGCAATTTCACGCTACTTTGTCTGCTCTCCTTTGTCATTTTGGATACCAATAAAATTGACTCTTTTGTGTGGAAAAAAAAATTAATATCATTTTTAGTTAATAAAATTTGACTCCATTTTAGTTTTAATTACTGTATGAAATTTGAAGCCAATAATTTTGACTCTTGAAATTTAATTTCATTTTAATTTTGATTCCCGAAATTTGATCACATTTTGGTTTGACTTAAGATTTTTGGTCCTTGAAACAAGGAGCAAAATCAAAATAAAGTTAAATTTCAGGGACTAAAACTACTCGTTTCAAATGTTAGAAATCAAAACAAAAAAGATATCCAATTTCATGAAACAAAACCATTAGTTTCAAATTTCAAGAGCTAAAACTAAAATGAGGTCAAATTTCAAGGACTAAAGTTGATATTAACCTCTCTAAAAATTATAATCATAAGTGTATCAATTTTTTTTTAAAAAAAAATCCTCAAATAAGAGCTATCTTAACAAAGAACTTCAAGTAGAATCAATTGGGGTGGGGTGAAAATCTTCTGGCATCATTTGGTATCCAAATGCAAAGCAATAGAAAAGTAAGCTGTAAGTATATATTAAAAATCTTCATTAAAGTATAAGATGTTCATCTGAAAAGTAATGAATTAGGGAAGTGAATTTGAACAACCATCTTTATTGATGAATTGAGGTGATGTTTATTACAAACAATTATTTATTTCTTATAAATATATTCGGAAGGAATGTACTATATATATATATTAAGATATTACTGTTTCCTTTAGTTTATCCTATGTAATAAGCAATCTCTTATACTAAATATTTTTTTAATAGATTATCTTAATCCTAATTCCAATTCCTACTCTTAATTTTCAATACTTCCTACTAAATGGGAGCATTTTCTTTCAAGGTTTGTCCATTCATGAAACGTTGGGCTTGCAGGGTGTTCATCTAAAGGTGATGAATTGGGGAAATGCAAAGCTATAGAAAAGTAAGCATACATGAAAATCCAAATGCTTGCAGGGTGTTCATCTAAAGGTGATGAATTGGGGAAATGCATTTGAACAATCTCCCTTGTCTCTGGAATTAAAAAGACAAATACAGCATGCCAAGGCATCGGGCTGCAAAACCATCAAACTAATTAGAAGTGTTCATAATGCAATCGCCAAATAATTAAACAATTATTCTGGTAATTAAGTATTGAACCACGCCTTGAAGGATTATGTTATATATATAAATATATATATCTCTTTCAAAATATAACATTCTTCCCAGATGCTATTTTGATATAAAAACTCTTAACGATCAATTGATGTTGATTTCTTTATGTAAAGATAATTATAATTTGAGTAAAATACTCTCATTATCTTTCTGTTTTGTCTTAATCACAAACTTTTCCTGTATTTTGAAAACATACACTTAATTCTAAACTATTAATTTTGTCAAGGATATTCTAAAAAGATTCTAAAAATATATTTTTTAATAAAATTTATATTAAAAAAAATTATTATCCCATTTACCCTTCATACTAAATCCCTAATTTTACTTTTGATACTTCGCAAACTCTGAGAGAGAGAGAGGGGGAGAGAGAGTCTGTTTAAAAATTATAAATTATAAATTTAAATAACTTAAACAATCTCTCAAACTTATATTACTTATGATGAACAAAAATATTTGTTGGAGATATATTTTTAGCCATTTAAGAAACCAAAGTAAACAAGTTTGAGTAAACGTGATGAAAAATAAAAGTTATAAGTTTATAATATAATCAAAATTAATAAATTGTATAGTATATTAGAAAGTTCAATATATATATTAAAACTATTTTATGATTGTATAATTTTTTTGGGGCAAATGTAAGTGTTTAAATACTTATTATGTTAAAGAGGGGCATTTTGGTCAAAATGAAGTTTAATAATAGTCAAATTTAATGGTCAACTAATAGTTTGGGTGGATGGAAATGGAATTAATATAAAAGGAAGATTAGTATAACATACATTTTAATTTTAAAAGAGATTTATGTGTTTTCAAAATAGAATAAAGATAATTGTGTAATTAAAGCAAAATTAGGAAGTCTTAGAGTATTTTACTCTTATAATTTTAATGTCTTTTGTACAGTTTTAATATATATATATATTTATATATAGGGAGAACTCTAACGAGGTTATAATCCAAAAATATACTTACTAAAAAATCTTAATAATATCTAAGTAG